GGTGCTTCAATTACAGAACACTTCCAATTATGAAAAACTGGGGCCTAAAACATGAGATATTTTTTTTTGGAACTTTTTCTGAGTGGAGAGGTGTATGAGACAATTAAAATAATTGGGAACATAGGCAGGAAAGTCAGACAACCCAATTTATCAAAAGTTAATCAGCTGCCTAATGATGCCAATATTTCTGTTTAGCCATGTGTTAGACTAATAAATCACTATCAGCATTACTCTTATCCAGTTATTATTCATACAGTTCCTTGCTGAGCAAAATCTGACATTCTCACTTGATCTTACATATACATAAAATGCAGCTGAGTCTCTGTTATCCTACATATCATGTGGGGCTACTGGGAATACAGCAACCTGCTCCCATTTATCTTCCTCTTGTCAAATAATTGTTATTTAGTGATCATGCATAGCCATCTGTTGTCTTATTTTGAGTCCAGGACTGCACCCCCTGATTATAGTTCCTCTTCAAACTCTTAGCTATAGCAGAAAGTGCAATATTTGATGTTCACTTTCTAGGAATACACTTCAGCCAAAGAGACAATGCATCATCACTGTTTCCTTTTAATTTACTTATTTGTTTCCATATAGCATCCTGAGATATCTTAAATAATCTGCAAATATCCATATAGTATGCAATTTGTCTCTTCATGGGCAGTCTGATAAATTTTCACAATTTTATTCAGTTTAATGATGCAGTGCTATAATCAAACCACTGATATGCTCACAAATATGGGATGTCAGTTTGCCAGGTATTCCAAGCAAAGGTGGAATTCTAGGAGTTGATAGCCAGGAATTCTGAATAGGAAACAATATTACTATTACTTGCAAGGCAGAAGAAATGGCCCTGAGGACAGGAGGAAGAATGGGTACCAGGAAAATGGTCAGATAAAAGGCCATGAATCAGAGGATAAGAATGTAATGTGTAATCAGTGGTGGGATTCAAATATGTGAACAACTGGTTCTCTGTGTGGATGCCGCTTCCAGAAGTCCATTCTGGGCTGGGCAACAAAAAATTATCTACCGGTTCTGCTGAAGTGGTGCGAACTGGCTGAATCCCACCACTGTGTATAATGTAATGTGAGTAAGTGCCTCTAGTAAGTAAGCTCGACTCTAGTTCACATTTAGATAAAAGGACACCGAGAGAAAGCACATTCAGACTTGCAAGATTCTGTTACTATAGATTAACAATAACAATTATAGTGATCGTTGGTCTCCTGGTCTGAAGGAAAGAAAACCTTTTGAAGGGCTGACACAAAATCAAGGAATTCAAAAGATTTTTCAAGGTTGAAATTTCCCATAAGATTCTGCTACAGCAGGGGTGTCAAACTTGCAACATCACATGACATATCGCAACGTATTGTGACTTTTTTCCATTGCTGGCAATGGGGCGGGCGCAGTTTCAGCATGACGCATCCGGCCTGTGGGCTGGCAGTTTGATACCCCTGTACTAGAGCATTGACATCAGCAAAACAATAGATGGAGCATCAAGTGTCAATATCACATGGATATTCCTATGGTAGGGGGCTTACATTGTGACTCTCCATCCTCCATCTTGCTCATTTTGCCTCTCTACATGGGCTTTCTGCTGAAACTCTCCAATTACAAAAAAATGGGCATTCAGTCATCTGTGGTCTTTACTGAGGCGTTGGCTTCAATTGCTATTATAAATGATAATCTATTTAGCCAGATGAGATATTTGTGTTCCTACCCAGAGTCATCAGAATGATTGATATGCTTATTTGCAAGAAAATTCCAAATGTGATGGGATACCTGCCAAAATCCTCATGCAATAGTGTAAGAACTTTGCTAACCTTGCAAGTGATTAGCTTGCTAATGAGCAGCTTAGAAATTAATATTCACAATGCTTGGAGATCTGAGGCTAGAAATAGACAAACTATCAGTACTGGAAGATTGTTAATTATCATATTGATGAGAGTAACTCATGTTGTCCAAAGGGAATAATGGGAACATCTGAAAATAAATATACATGAAAATATATTGAGGAACCCATTGTTTTCAGGGATTTTTTTCACCCTGATAATGTAATCTACAATCTTGAAATTCACTGGGAAAATCTTATCCGTATAGTAACCAAACCTAATCCTGTTTAGCTTTTAATTCTAGACAAGGTCAAGGATTAGATGTCCTTCTTAATGGTTCACTTCTTTACTGAGTTATATTGCATACAGTGGAAGTGTAAAAAACAAAACAAAACCCAGAGATGATCTTTGAGAAAATAAGCAGTAACTGCTGATAAAAACACTGGGAAGCTTTCAAGATTCTGCTCTTATTACCTATATTGCTAATTCTAGTATTACTTCTCACCCCAATGGGATTGGTCTATCCCACTCGTGCTGGCAGAAGGGGCGTGCCATGGCCCCTGTCAGTCAAGGACTTCTGGCTGGCTAGGTCCTGGAGAAGAGCCTTTAACCATGGTTCCTGCCCTCTGGAATATCATGCCCCTTGAGGTGAGATCTGCTCCACCCCCTTGGCCTTCCAAAAGGGCCTAAAAACCTGGCTCTGCCAATTGGCCTGGTGTTCCAATGGGGTGTTTCATACAGGAGGTAGTTAATTGATTAAGAGAAGACTCTCCTTGTATGTTGCGTCCTTCCTTAGCTATTTTAATGTTAATATTTATTGTCTCAATATTTTATATTGTGGATTTTATCTTATTGTGAAAAATAAGCACAGAGATGCTTGATGGTGAGATGGGTGGCATATACAAATAAACAAAAAAAAACTCATAAAAAGTTAACTGGCAAAGTGGGATAAAAAAGTAGGAAAACAAAAGAGAAAAATAAAAAAGGTGGAGGCTAATCTGTATTATATAGTATGTAACAAAACATCATTGTATAGAACATTCTAGCTACTGTAAACTGTCAGATTCAAAGAATCAGGACCACACATTAAGTTCCAATTAAGCTGATTTACTGTTCATGAATATACACAAGAATCTAGTCAACTAACGATTAGCACTAAATTGGTGCTAGATAAGAGTTAATGGAATTCAAGAGGGGTTGGATTTAGATGTTTGTGGGAACGTAACGACTTCAGGCTGATTCCTCTCTTGACTCTAGCCTCAAGCTCTGTCTGTCCTTTTCTTATATTGTAGAAACAGTGCAGTGGGTTTTGTACAGGGAATGCCCTTTGGTTATTCCAATATTAGCCTTTTTTATATAATAGTAGCAGACTTTAGAGATGGAAAGGTGATCTCTTCTCTATTTTGCATCTTAAAGGAAACAAATTGATGAATGGGTTCATGTTTTAACATTTGCCATTTATTGCCAAGTCTACCTTGGTTGCAAACTTGTTTACACTATTTTAATCTGGCTTTGTGGTATGCTTGAATAGCAAGGTATGCTACTTTAAGAGCCTTGTAGGAGGAAATACACAGGCTACATCTTTTTACATAAAATGACACGAGAGATGCTATAATCCCAGTCACCCAAGGAATTATTATAATATGATGATAATTCCCTTCAGTAATTCAATTGCAATAATAGAATGTGCCTGTCATATTTTAGATGAATCAGTGTAATGTTCATTATAAGAAACAGAGAAACAAATAGTAACTGCAGTCACTGCTTTATATGGAAAAAAGAAGAAGCTTGCAGAGCACTGTATTAGAATAGAATACACTAGAGCTGGAAGGGACCTTGGAGGTCTTCTAGTCCAGCCCCCCTCCTCAAGCAGAAGAACCTGTATCATCCCGGACAAGTGACTGTCCAGTCTGTTCTTAAAAATCTCCAGTGATGGAGCACCCATGATTTCTTGAAGGCAAGCTGTTTCACTGGTTAATTGTCCTCACTGTTAAGAACTTTCTCCTTAATTCCAGGTTGCTTCTCTTTTTGATTAGTTTCCAGCCATTGTTTCTTGTCCTGCCATCTGGTGCTTTGGAGAATAATTTGACTCCCTCTTCTTTGTGTCAGCTTCTAAAATATTGAAATACTGCTATCATGTCACCTCTATTTCTTCTTCTTTTCTTCTTTTTCTTTATAATTAAGTCTCTTTCTGCTGCTGAATTGCCAAAGGAAGCTTCAGAAGTGACACAAAATAAACCAACATGGGTGCTTCATTTTCAGAAGCAGGGTGTTATTCCAGTTTTTAAAGCAGTTATTTGTACAAAAAAATCAATGATTTTTTTCATTCTTTTGCTCTTTTACATATTAAATTGTAGAGCTTAATGTTCCTGACATTTATGAGAAATATTCAGTTTGGGGATAAATGTCCATACTAGCCCAATCAAGGATCCTTTAAAACTATAAAACTCTGTCACAACATTGTAGTCAGTATATCTACCCAAGATAAGGTTCTAGGGAGAGCCAGTTTGGTAATGGCTAAGGTACCTGTCTAGAAAGCAGAAGACTGTGAGTTCTAGTCCAGCCTTATGTATGAAAGCCGGCTGGATGACTTTGGGTGGGAGGGAAACAGGCAGAAGAAGATGTATTAGGTATGTAAGTCCAAGATGGCAGCTTTGAGGGCATGAAAGCTCCATCTGTGTTTTTATGTGTGATTCATGAGAGGCTGAGGCATGAGCTCTGTCCTCTGCAGCAACATCAGTATAAGGACACGGTAGAAGGTTATCTGAACAAATTCCAATTGTGCTACTTCCAATAACAATAAAATAATCATTATCATAATTTGATCATGAAAGAGGACCGTGATACAACTCATATCTGAATGAGAGAAAATTCTCTCTCAGCAGTGACATTTAGAAGAGCTCTGAGACTGGGGCGGGGTGGGAAAAAGTCCTTGGATGACTCCTTTCTCCTGTCTGCTCCTGCTGTTTCCATTCACTGAGCAAAACGGATTAGTTTAACCTTATTTCAAAAATGCTAACTCCGGTTCAGAAGCTTTTACGAGACACAGACTTTAATTATTCTTTTGATAGCTCAGATATCAAAGCATTTACTGATCCACCCTCAAGATGATGACTGAAAATTATAAGCCACAGAGTTGCTATCAACATAATATTCAGTCAACCTTACCTGGTGAGTGAAGTGGAGGAGAGCATATTAGTACCACACCTTGACCTTCTCTCACTGACACAGCACTTCTTGTTCGTCCACTGAAATTCCCCAGATCTGTTAACATAAGATAACAATTTTGATTCACAAGGAGAATGTTTTCAATATTAGTGTCCATACAGAGTTATTTTCCCTTCTTCCTTTTATTCTTATGCTAAAAAAAAAATCACTTTTTACTCTTTCAAATGTGAAACAGAAAAAAAAATCCATTCCTTTCCAAATAAGTATTCTGGCTAATTACAACTAGCAAATAAAGCTATTCCATGTGACATTTTTATTATTTCTTAGAGGATGAAGAAATGTGTCAGCCAAAAGCCATTAGGTGATATACCCGTTTATAACAAATATCTAATAGCTCTTTTACAATTTCTCACTTATTGATTTTTTTCCCCTGGTAAAAAGTCACTGTGTTTACAGTTGAAAGAGACACAAAGAGAGGTAAGGAAGCTTGGCATCTAACTTGTATCCTGGATAAAGCTTTTGAGTGTTATATAAAGGATACTGAAACTTAACAAATAAACTATACAAATGTTTGCAATATTAGCTCCATTGGGAAATCTGTGCCATGGGTCCTTGTTGAGAACATTTATGATTCATGGAATTCATATTAGACTATAAAGCTCTGAACATTATTAAAAAAAATATTTTAAAAGCCTAATTCTGTCAAAATCCTCTTCTGGAGAGATCTTGCTTATGATCCCAGCTATGGATATGTCTCACACTATCCTAAATTAGAGTAGGATCTTCTTGGTGGTGATGAGCTGAGGTAGTAAGCTAGCTGTCATAAACTCTACTTTTAAAAAAGTTGAACCCATGGCCTGTTTTCTGATCATCTGAAGGGTATACAATGGTTCAGGTTCAAGATTTTTTTAAAAAAAAGAGTTATGTTTTAATTGTCACATAGCCTCGTGGCACATTTTATTGTTTTTTATTGTCTTGTTCTTCTGCCATTGGGGCAATTTTTCCTTTTTAATTGAGAAGAAAGCTTTCAATGTTACTATTTGTACAGATTTCTCTTCCTTTCCTTTTTATGCTAAACAACAACAATTTTTTATGAAAGATGAAAGAAAAAAATAAATCCTTACAAAATAAATTTTTTTCTAGCTAATTTCAATTGAAAAAAAAGCAAAGTAGAAAAATACACTACATTAATGTAATTATATGTTTACATAGGATTCAAAATATGAAGTTGTTTCTTAGGTTTGTCTTCCATACAGTCTTTTGAGGCATGTCACTAATAATTTTCTTGGCAGAAAATTGGCCTTTTCCTGTTTCTAAAACTAAGTATAATAAGTTCTTGATGTGGTATACACACAAACACAAACAAACAAATTCAGACACATATACAGTTTATTATAAGAAAAGATGTATTTGCTGGATCACTAGGGGTCCCACTACGTTGAAATAATATCTGGAACTTTTCACTGTTTGACTGATTATTTTATTTCACAGTACAAATGAATATTCCACACATTGTCATACAAAACTGTCTTATATCATATTAGGCAATTGATCCATCTAAACCACCGTTTCTCAACGTTTGTGTGATGGCGACCCCCGTCACACGGACGCGGTCGCCCCCATGGACAGCGTGCATGCGTGGCGGCGCCCCCATGCGCAGCGTGCATGCGTGGCGCTGCCCCCTGAGGGGGGGAAATGGCGGATCGCGTTGTTTGGTGACCCCCGTAAAATGGTCGTTCGACCCCAAATGGGGTCGCAACCCATAGGTTGAGAACCGCTGATCTAAACTAAATGGCAGCATTTCAAATAGGTGTCATTTCCAGTCCTATTAGTGTATACTAAGAGTTGAAATGTTTGGCATACAAATAATTTCTAGACAACAGGTGGAGAATTGAGATCTGCCCTGTTCTAAATGCTAGGGCTGAAAATTTCAAAGCACCACCATTGCTACTTGTTATCTGCATTAGTAAGAGAATAACATAATCAATATCTTTCCCCATCATTTCTTTTGACCCATCTTTCCCATTGTAATTCAGTCCAACTCTTATCCTCCATATCTCCTTCTATTAATGATATAAATATTTTAACTAACTTTTCTATCTTTTTGTTGTTTTAACAGTTCAGTCATATCCAATTCTTGGCAACTTTATAAGCAAATGTTCTCCATGCTATCTTGTCAAGCACAGCTTCTTACCGTTGTTGAATGCTCATCTTTGTATCAATGTTGATGTTATCAAGGCAGTGTGATCTTTGCTTGCCCCTTCTTGTTCCACTAACCATTCCTAGCATCACTGACTTCTCCAAAGAAGTGCACACATAACAGGGTCAAAGTATATCAGACACAGTCTAATAAACTATAAACTTGCCTAATTTGAATTGACCACTGCTTGTCCAGTGTAACTCACTAACTTTTCTATCTTAGTGTACTTATTAACTAGAACACACACAGATGGATACTGTTCTTTTATGGATCAGATGAAAGTAAGGGATGGTCCACAACTCAGTGAGAAAACAACAGTTTTGCTTTCAAAATGACCTAACATCACTAGTTTAAAAAACAAAGATGAAGTAAATTGAGGTCATGAAGGCCAGACACAGTCACTAAAGCAGTACAGTTTAAACTATTGCTCATTGAAATATCTGCTTTGTATGAGTCATTGAGACTCATTGGAAATGTATTCTCCAGGCACCATTAGAGAGACCTTATCTTTCTTTTGCACAAATAACTTGGTCCTGTTACTGCTATTACTACTACTATTACCACTACTGTTGTAAGTGGTTCCATTTTGGTTCAATATTGCTTTTTTATCAATTTAGTACTAAAAAGAGTATTATTATTATTATTATGGATCATCGCACAGTCAGCCAGATGTTCAGACTGGATTTGGCATTTTGTCTATCTATCGAGTCCTTACCCAGGACCTGGGATAGGCAGATGTGGATGTTTGATGGTATTACAGATATCGTCGCAGGATGGAAGCAGTTCCTAATAAGGCCGCCTTTTGCAATTGACTAATAGCGAATTTGTCAATGCCAATGGTGTTCAAGTGGTGCTCCAGTTGTTTTGGGATTGCACCCAAGGAGCCTATCACTATTGGTACTACCCTTGCTTGCATTTGCCACAGTCTTTCTATTTCTATTTGTAGGTCTTTGTATTTTGTTATCTTCTCCAGTTCTTTCTCTTCTATTCTGCTGTCTCCAGGCACTGCCATGTCCACTATCCAGACTTTTTTGTCTTTCTTGTCGACAATTGTTAAGTCTGGGGTGTTATGTTGCAGGTGCTTGTCTGTTTGAATTCTGAAGTCCCAGAGCAGTTTAATTTTACCATTTTCTATGACTTTCTCTATTTTATGATCCCACCAGTTGTTGTTGTTGTTATTATTATTATTATTACTATTATTATCAACAATAATAGAGTTGGAAGGGACCTTGGAGGTCATCTAGTCCAATCCCCTGCTCAGGCAGGAAACCCTATACTATTTCAGGCAAATGGCTGTCCAGTCTCTTCTTAAAAACTTCCAGTGTTGGAGCATTCACAGATTCTGGAGGCAGGTTGTTCCATTGATTGTTCTAACTGTCAGAAAATTTCTCCTTAGTTCTAGAATGTAATGCTAAATTATGTATCAAAAGGAATTTGTTGATCTCACAAGAATTGTGGGAATATCAGATTTGGAATATGGCAAAAAAGATGGATCTACTTTGCAATTGTATTTGAATTGCACATATTATGATGCATTTTAAAAAATATTCTTTTTCTTTAGATTTTTGGCAAATAAACTAATAAAAATATATTAAAATTACAGGAAAGGAGAGAGGTTAGCATCAGCAGTGGTATATTTGTAACTAATTTTAGTTAGGATTATCTACTATGTACTCAGCTTGGATGAAAAGAAATGACGTAAATGCACATTGTTTAACAAAATACAATACAATATAAATGATAATTTTCCCTCTCTTTCTATCATGCCAGTTCCACAAAGCCTTTCCCTCACCTCCACCTGAAGTATGTATAATGATACCCCTCTTTTTTTTTTGGCAACAATGCCTAATCACCTCACTTGTACCCTACAATAAAGTTGGCTGTTTGTGTGTTCAGTCTAAATGATTTTAAAACAAATATATTGAAAACAGGAGGAATGGTCACTGACTTCAAAAGACTAGCACAAGCAATTAAAGTGGGCAAATTGTAGGGAGGAAAATGTCCTTATTTTATAATCTATCATTGGAGACCATTCTCTTATCTACAAATAAGCCACCTGTATGTCTATGGAGATTCTCAGTCATCCAGGTCATGGTTGTCCCAAAGGTGCTTTTTTAAAATAAAGGCAATGGGACTTTCCTGATTGTTTCCTTTGAAAATGTTTCACTTTTCACCCAAGAAGCCTGGAGAACTTAAGAAGCTTCTTGGATGAGAAGCAAAATGTTTTCAAAGGAAAAAAACAACAAGAAAGTCCAGTTGCCTATAGGAAAAAAAAAAGCATTTTTGAGACTTTTCTTTGGAGATGAGCTCTTAGGCTCAGAGTCCTTGAGCAGTAAAAATCAAAGCGGGGAGCACATTTGGTTTATTAATTTAGTTGTTAGATTTATATCTCCTTTTATACCAGTGGTTCTCAACCTTTCTAATGCCGCGACCCCATAATACAGTTCCCCATGTTGTGGTGACCCCCAACCACTTATACATCACCGGGTGCCAGGGGCGTGGCCAAAGAAAAGGGGGAAAAATGGCGGACCCCTGTGAAATGGTCGTTCGACCCCAAATGGGGTCCCGACCCACAGGTTGAGAACCACTGTTTTATACCTTCTGTTTTGCAGCCTCCACCCTGTGGAAAAGCAACCCTCAGAGATATGGACAGCACCAACTCTCCTAGAGTTTCAGAAAGCTCTTAAAATCTGATTTTGGACCTAGACCTGAGATTAACGTATTGTATTGAAGAGCCCTCTTGTGTTTGGTTTGACTTGTGTGATTTTTTTTTGTTTTGTTTTCTCTGCTGCCCTATAATAAGGGAATCCTATAATAAAGGAGGCTGTAATAAATAAACCATCTTCATCACTACCACTGCCACCATCATCATTATGCCTTTTGTTCAGAAGCTCAA